GCCATAGCGTGCACTATTGAGTTATGGATGCACTTGGGAGGTTTGCTAAGCACCCAAGAAGCTAGAGTCGCACGAGGCCATCGCCTCGTGCGACTCTTATGCTTCTTTTGTGCTTAGCAACCTCCTGCGTGCGTCCATAACTCAATAGTGCACGCTATGGCATTTACCATTTGTTAAGTTGATTTCAAGTTATTGTTTATTTGTGATATCTAACTTGACACAGGGTAACAGTTATATTTTGTCGTTGAAATTACATCTACTTAAAATTTGTCTCCTTAAATGAACCAACAGGCCAAATCACAGCGAGATTGAGAAAAGGCGACGAGACAAAATGAACACTTACATTAATGAACTGTCTACCATGATCCCGATGTGTAATGCCATGTCACGCAAGCTGGATAAACTGACTGTTTTGAGGATGGCTGTGCAGCATATGAAGACTTTAAAAGGTAAAAGCAACTTCTCTTAGGTGGTACATGTCTTTCCCCTCTCTATAGTTCATGCCATGTCCCTCTGAACACATTGTACCCTCTTTCTCTATCCACTCCTCCCACTGGGTTAACCATCCCCTTCTCCCCTTCCTCCATTCTCCTTGTCCTCCCTTCTCCTTCCACACTTCTCCAACCCACTCTAACCCTAAGTTTTAATTTTATTTCTTTTTTCATTTTGTGGGAGGCACGGTGGCTTCATGGTTAGTGTGCTGGACTCTGGAGCGAGCAGTCCAGATTCGAGCCCTGGCTGGGGACATTGTGATGTGTTCTTGGGCAAGACACTTAACTCTCACGTTGCCTCTCCCTACCCAGGTGTATAAATGGATATCGGCAAATTTAATGCTGGGAGGGGGGGAGGGGTAACCCTGCGATGGACTTGGATCCCATCCTCCCATCCAGGGGGGAGTAGAAATACTCCTAGTCACTTCATGCTACTGAAACCAGGATAAGCTCTGAGCCTGATGAGGTACTTGGCTTGTATGCAGACTTTTCCCTCTCTTCTCCGTACTCCTCCTTCCTAAATATATGTACCTCCATTTTATGGTCCTCTCTCCTAAGGTGTCAGGTGCAATTATATCTATCTCCACAAAGCCCATAGTAAATCATAGTCTGCTGAAAGCTCCTTTACATTGTATTTTTCAGGAGCACTTGACCCATTCACTGAAACAAACTACAAACCAGCTTTCTTGTCTGATGAGGATTTGAAGAACTTGATTCTTGAGGCAGCGGATGGCTTCTTATTTGTTGTTGGTTGTGACAGGGGATGTCTTCTCTATGCGTCAGATTCCATTCAGAGTTACCTGCACCAGGCTCCTGTGAGTTCATTTCCTGAGTACTTTTTAGTCTGGATTTTGGAATTTGTTGGGACTTGGGTAAATAGTCCATGGTCTGGGCAACCAAGAATGTAGATATAATCAATGGCACAATAAACAACAACAACAACAACAAAACTGAATGGAAAAAACAAACTGAATGGACTTGAATAAGGGGTGGACCATTTGATTTTTGAGGGGCGGGGGGTGGGTGATTTGTTACAGGCACAAATTGTTCTAATCCTTACGTGCACTTAGGAAACTTTTTTCTTGGAACTTGGACCGGCAGATAACCTGCACATTTTTTACTCAAAATTTTCCCTTAAAATTGGGGATGTGGCTTATCTGTGAGAATATCTGGACAATGTGCCATAAATTTGCAGAAATTAACCCTTTTTATTGAAAATTTATAAGTCTGTATAGCAAACTAATAACATCAGACTATGCAACAATCACTGCTTTTACAAGTTTGGTGGCTGCTAAAAGAGCCATTTTTGTTCATAAGCATAAGCTTACATTTCTTGCTGTTAAACTAAAAAAATCTTTTAACCCATAAACGTCACTTGGCAGGGAATCTGGACCGTTCCTTTGTTTACATTGTCGCAATGAATTGTGATCAAAGAAAGCTTTGAAAGCTACTTGTGTCCAATATTCCATCTCTTGGTGAAATGCCTGACTACTACTGTTAGTTACGAACGAACAAACAAATGATCTTGTTATATGTAAAATTCTACAGTCTGAAAAACTGACAAAAATGGAAAAAAAATACTGGTTGAAAGATACCACAGAAAGATCAAACTTATTCAAAGTTGGAAGATATCAGATTCTATACTATTACTCAACAGAGCTGAAATTATATGTAAGGGTTTCAATTTGAAGTATTCTCTGTTTTCAATGTCATTGAGTTTCAGTGCATTGTTAGTTTACGCTGGTTTACTTTCAATAAATCAAGAAATGTAAATGTCAAAACTCCACTTTAGATTTATTTTAATTGATTTCTTTCAAAACCTTTTTTTCAAAATTGGAGTTGCCAAACTTGGGGTGTGGCTTATCTATGTGGCTTATCGGCCAATGTTTATGGTTCTCTCCATATAACAGGCTTTTTTCAGCTCACTGGACATGTGTGAATTTTTGTTCGGCAGTGGTCGTGAGCATGAATTTTGTTTGGTACAAGCATGCTTGCAGGATGTTTTTTTCAAAATCACTCATCCCCCCTCAAAAGTGGTCCACCCCTAACAACATAATTATGAAAAATACAAGCAAACCTTTTATGGCCTAAAATATTGATCCAAATTAGTTTTTTACGAGTAATTATGGGATTTGTCCTGATGGACTTGAACATATAATGCACATATCTATTTGACATGACGTGTTTAAATTTAACTGTTTTGGTTTCTACTTACAGTCTGACCTTGTGGGGCATAGTTTCCTTGATCTTGTCCATCAAAAAGATGTCAACAAAGTCAAAGAACAGTTGTCATCTTCAGACACCACACCTCGTGAAAGACTGATTGATGCAAAAACAGGTCTTCCACTTAAAACTGAGAATCAACCAACTCCAACAAGATTGTGCTCTGGGGCTAGGAGGTCGTTCTTTTGCCGCATGAAATGTGGTTCCAAAGGGAAAAAGGATCGGGATGGCATGGATTCTGAACCATGCTTGATGAAAAGAAAAAGCAAAGCCAAGCAAGCGGCACAACCAGATAAAAAACCTTACGTTGTTGGTAGGTGTAACAGACAACCTCAAGAGACCTTATGATTTTATTACAATTTTCCTCAAGTAACTCAGTCCTATTGATTATGTTAGTCAAAAAGAGAAAAGCATAGTAATAACTTTCTGTGCTAAAGATTTTGGAGAAGACTTGCAGTCGAATCTTGCACCTGTGCAGTAGTGTTAATAGTACAGTTGAATCCCGCTATTTCCAACCTTCAGGGGAAATGAAAAATAGTTTGAAGTAATGGGAGTTTGAATAGTAAGTGATTGAAGGACCAAGGTGACCAAGAAATAACTAATTTCCCTGTCAATTCTACCCTCCTTCATTTCATTGGGAAATGTTTATTTTGGAAGGGTAAAAGCACATATCCTGTTCTTTGTGCATTTATCCTGAAATCGTAATTCCTTTTCCCTTGGCCTTTATCCTCCCAAAAAGTTACAGAATGCCATAGAAATAAAAGAATAGTCACAAAAGTCATTCACACTGATTGTTCAGCTCTTCCTAAATCTTGGGTATGATATGTGTGACTAAAAAATGAAACAACCAAAACACACATGCAGTACGTCGCATTGACTGTGTTGGCCTCTGTATTTTCTGTGGCATGATATACAATAGTTATGCAATGCTCTCTTGTGGTATAACTTGGAATATCCCACTTGTCACTTGTTAATTCTTGGTAAACCAAGAAAATACAAGTGACTCGTGGGATATTCCATGTTATGGTATACCACAAGAAAGCGTTGCATAACTAGTATTTACATGTACAGTCGGACCCCAGTAATTTGAACTTGGTTCTTTCGAATTCCCTGTTATTTTGAACCCCAAACCATCTCCCTTTGATTTGTTCTTCAGTCATTTACTATCGGCTATTTCAAACTCCCACTATGTTGAACTATTTTTTGATTCTCCTGAGACTTCGAAATAGCGGGATTCAACTGTAGTAATTTTGAATTTACATGGATTGATATTTTCTTAATTTGAATCAATAAGTTGATAACTGTCTACATTAGTGTCTCCAAAGGTCCATAAGCCCATATTTACTCCACTGATGTGTGTGTGTCCTAATGAGATAAACTTGATTCATGTGTATTGAGAAGTCCAGTCAGGTTAAATTTTAACTATTTTTTGGTTGGTCTAGTTCATTGTACAGGTTATTTAAAATCATGGCCTCCATCAGGCTGTTCATTTGATGACGATGATGAGGACAGCGAATCTAGAAATCTCAGTTGCCTTGTAGCAGTGGGAAGAGTGGAAACAATTTATGATGAAACAACAGATTATTCACTGCCAGGAATTGCGAATGAGTTTATCTCACGGCACAGTATAGATGGCAAATTCATTTTTGTTGATCAGCGGTGAGTAGGAATCAACCAAGCTTGCAGTATTAATTNTACTTTATAACGAGCTCCTGAAAGACCTTGTGTGTTAAATAATAATTGCATTAAATTTTACCTTATGTTTCGCCCTTAATGTATCAGGTTCTATGGAAACCCGTCTTACAACAGTTACACCCTGTTTTAAGCTAACAGTAGAGAATTCGTAGAGGGTGCCTGCTTTCTAGTACGTCCATGAAAACTGTAGGAACCATTGAACTTTTTTTCTCATTTCAGAACAACTGCCATAACAGGCTATCTTCCCCAGGAATTAATAGGAAGTTCAGCCTATGAATTTTTTCACCAAGAGGATTTGAATTCAATAGCTGTGTCGCATCGGCGGTCACTCCAGGGAGAGACAGTAATGACAGATGTTTACAGATTCCGATGCAAGGGAGGTCACTTAGTTCCACTCAGAACTAAATCAACTGTGTTTAGAAACCCCTGGTCTAAAGAACTGGAGTTTATCGTCTGTGTCAACACTGTTGTCACGTGAGTATACATGTGTATGGCTAGCCTTGTGACTTTTTTCGATGACCCTTTCCTAAGAAAAAGACACCCAAATATAGATACCATTACTTTTAGCAGTGGTTTTGCATTGAAGAGCTCCCTTTTTTGTGAGAATATTCTTTACTAAATGATTCTTAGGTTGCGAACCAAATGATTATTTGAAACACTTTCTGAAGCAGTTTTCCAATGGTTCATTTCACCTGGCAACCTCTCAACCTATATGCGAGATCAGACAGGATTAGCTTATTTAAGCTTATTTAAGCTAATTATTTTATTTAAGCTTATTTAAGCTTATTTACTTTAAAACTATCCGATCTATTAAAACCAGATTTATGCAGAACTAATTTCTAGTATCAGATGGTAACAGTTTGGCAGATTGTTATTGTGATAGGCTGAAAGAAATGTTGAACCATTTAGAATACACAGCAAGACTAGTCGAGTAAAATATCAAAACAATTGAAAGTGTTTTTCAGCTAAAAGGAGTACAGACTGTAATGCCTGTTTCAATCGCTTAGAAAATTTTTTGCTACATGGAGTTTTCGAGAAACCTTAGCTTCCTGCTGGCTTGCATGATCTTACAGAGGGGAATGATGAAGAAAATTCAGTGTAATAATGGTCTTTGCGAAACCAGTATTTAAAACTGATATGTGCGTGAGGGCGACAGGATGTATACTGTTGTACTCGGATCGTTGAGCGAATAGTGAAAACCCCAAGGTGATAAAAAAATATTTTTCACCTCTTGTCGTTTGAGGCCCTACCAACACTGTCAGTGCTGTGTACATTTGTTACCACCCCTGTGGTTAATATTATTCATATCCTTTCTCCTTTTGTCACCTGTCACTCAACTTTTCTTTTGGACTTTGCTTTATTTTCAGGGGTTTAGAATCGTTTGCTTTGCCTCTCACTGCGCCCGATATGCAGGCCCTGCAGCTAACTGGCAGCGTGGGGTCTGCGTCGTCGATTCAAAGCGACAGCATGTGTGCAGGTCATCAGACTAGTGTTCAACAAGTATTGGAGATGCTGAAAAAGAGGCAGCCTGTAGATGCGGGTAAATAATCCATTAGTGTTCGGCAATCTTCGAGAGACTATTAAATCTCCGAAAGTCATCGGGTCGTCTTCGGATCATTTATGCAATCGACTTATCTTAACTGCTTATTAACTAATTGGCAGGCGCGGTGGCCTCATGGTTAGTGCGCTCGTCTGCGGATCGAGCGGTCCGGGTTCGAGCCCTAGCCGGGGACATTGTGTTGTGTTCTTGGGCAAGACACTTTACTCTCACAGTGCCTCTTTCC